GAAAAGACCAAAATAGATGTCAGAAGAGACTCTGAAACTTGCTCTTCAACGTTGAGTAGCAAAAGTGAAAGGAAGAAATGATGAAGTAAAAGAAATGAACAGAAGATTTCAAAGGGCGGCTTGAGAAGACAAAGTAAAGTATTATAATGAAATGTGCAAAGACCTGGAGTTAGAAAACCAAAAGGGAAGAACATGTTCAGCAATTCTCAAGCTGAAAGAAATGAATAAAAAAATTCAAGCCTCAAATTGCAATACTGAAGGATTCTGGGAGAAGATACTGAACGACACAGGAAGCATCAAAAGAGGATGGAAGGAATACAGAGTCACTGTAACAAAAACAACTGGCCCACGTTCAACCACTTCAGGAGGCAGCATATGATCAGGGAGCGATGGCACTGAAGGAAGAAGTCCAAGCTGCACTGAAGGCACTGGTGAAAAACAAGGCTCCAGGAACTGACGGGATACCAACTGAGATGTTTCAAGAAACGGATGCAGCACTGGAAGCGTTCACTTGTCTGTGCCAAGAAATTTGGGAGACAGCTACCTGGCCAACCGACTGGAAAAGATCCTTATTTCTGCCAATTCCAAAGAACGGCGATCCAATAGAATGAGGAAAGTATCGAACAGGACCATTAATATCACATGCAAATAAAATTTTGCAGAAGATAATTCAAAAATTGTTGCAGCGGTACATCAACAAGGAACTACCAGAAATTCAAGCCAGATTCAGAGGAGGACTTAGAACGAGGGATATCACTGCTGAGGTCAGAAGGATCTTGGCTGAAAGCAAAGAATACCAGGAAGATGTTTACCTGTGTTTTATTGACTATACAAAGGCATCTGACTGTGTGGGTCATAACAAATTATGGATAACACTGTGAAGAATGGGAATTCCAGAACACTTAATGGTGCTCATGAGGAACCTGTACACAGACCAAGACGCAGTCATTTGAACAGAACAAGGGGATACTGCATGGTTTAAAGTCAGGAAAAGTGTGTGTCAGGGTTATATCCTTTCACCAGACTTATTCAATCTGTATGCTGAGCAAATAATCCAAGAAGCTGGACTATATGAAGAATAAGTGGGCATCAGGATTGGAGGAAGGCTCATTAATAACCTGCAATATGTAGATCACACAACCTTCGCTGCTGAAAATGAAGACGACTTGAAGCATTTACTGAGGAAGATCAAAGACTACAGCCTTCAATATGGATTACACCTCAACATAAAGAAAACAATCCTCACAAATGGACCAATAAGCAACATCATGATTAACAGAGAAAAGATTGAGGTTGTCAAGGATTTCATTTTACTTGGATCCACAATCAATGCCCATGGAAGTCGCAGTCAAGAAATCAAACAACGCATTGCATCGGGCAAATGTGCTGCAAAAGACCTCTTTAAAGTGTTAAAAAGCAAAGATGTCACTTTGAGGACTAAGGTGCTCCTGACCCACGTCATGGCATTTTCAGTCGCCTCATATGCATGTGAAAGCTGGACAATGAGTAAGAAAGACCAAAAAAGAATTGGTGCCTCTGAATTATGGTGGTGGTGAAGGATACTGAATATACCATGGACTGCCAGAAGAGCGAACAGGTCTGTTTTGGAAGAAGTACAGCCAGAGTCGTCGTCCTTGGAATCAAGGATGGTGAGACTTTGTCTCATGTACTTTGGACATATTATTAGGAGGGACCAGTCCCTGGAGAATGACATCATGCTTGGCAAGGTAGAGGGTCAGCAAAAAAGAGGAAGACCCTCGACGAGATGGACTGACACAGTGGCTGTAACACTGGGTTCAAACATAACAATGACTGTGAGGATGGCGCAGGACCAGGAAGTGTTTCGTTCTGTTGTACACAGGGTCGCTATGCATCGGAACCGAGTCAACAGCACCTAACAACAAAGTCGAAGAGTTAAGATGTCACACATATATGGTCATAAATGTTTGCAGTATGAACAAATTAGAAAAGTGAGAAAATAGAAAATGCATTAACCACTGTAAGAACATAAGAAGATATGACATATGCCTATTCTGAAATCTAGCATAATTTTAGTAAAGCTGTAACAAATTTTACCAGAATTATGGTTACAAGATGACCCTGAACTACCAATTTTTCTTTTAAATGAATGTACTAGAATATATACGTGATGTCTTTAAAACAGCCACATTTCTTCCAATAATGGTGTTGTTCAAAAGATTTCCTGAAACGTCTTTTGAAACATACCTTCGAGATGTGTCAGAATGCACTTTCACAGGTACTCAATTATGAGGAGGACTGACAAGTCATTTGGAGCCAAATCTGGCGAAATAAGTAGGTGAACAAACTAGAAAATACCATTTTGGGTCAAAAGCGTATGTTTTTTGTACCATACCTTCCCCAGAATAGTACTCAGTTGGGACAATATTTTCATCCCATATAATTTTTTCAGTTGACTACAAAACAAGGGTTTATTATCGATTAATAACAATGCCTTTTTTTTTTTTTGGTGGTCATTAGCTGGCTCCACAGGTCATTCAAAAGGGCCTCTGAAAACAGCTTTGAATTACAAAGCACTACCAAACACTGCCTACTACCGTGGCACATGAAACCTACACTTCTTACGTTATTAGGTCTCCTAAAAACAGTCTTACTGCTTTATGGCCATATTCTGTACTGGGTGCTGTGTATACTAGGGCATGGTTAACTTTAATAAAAATCCTTAGTGTTAAGTATTCAAATATTGACTAGTTTCTAGCTCTTAAAGTCGAACTTGAGGGACCAGAAACTCACCCTAACACCCACAGTAGCTGACATTTTTAGTTACACATTACGAATTCTAAACTAAGCTGCCTGCTACACGTGAATCCTGTTTTTCTTTACCATACCTTCCCCAGAATAGTACTCAGTTGGGACAATATTTTCATCCCATATAATCTTCTCAGTCGGATACAAAGGCATCTGGTTTAGCTGTTGAATCTGAGAAATCCGTCGCTCGTGACGAGACACCTAGACGAAAGGAGACAGTTGCACGGAGACAGTTAGAAGCATCCTTTTCCGGTCAAAATAATTCATGGAAAATTCACCTAAAGTACGGGATAAGAAGTTTCATGTCTTTCAGTTACTGTAGCATTTATAAGATTTTTTTTCTTTTCCCATTTTCTCCATAAATCAAAAATGAAAGAGTAAAAAGTGTGATGGGCTTTGGAATCAGACAGACCTGAGTTCAAATCCCAGGTCCTCTACTTAGGAGCTATGTGAAAACCTGGGCAAGTTACTTCAACCTCACTAAGCTTAGCCTCCTTTTCAGGAAACTAGATAAAACGCCACTCCCCTCTCAGGCTCCTCGTGAAAATGAAACGGAATACTGTAAAACAGCATTAACAGGCCGAGCACTTGCCAAGAGCTTAAAATCCTAAGTCCTGGGTTACAGTTTTCATTCCTTCACTAACCAGCCATGAAATCTGGGAAGGTTCATTAATCTTCTGGCCTCTGTCTTCTACTTGGCAAATGAGAGCACTGGACTTGAGGATCTCTATGTGCTCTTCCATTGTTAATATCATAATAATCTATCTCAAACACAAAAACAAGTTTGTTACCTAATTAACAGATACTAAAATAACAATATATTCAGGAAAAAGTGTCACATTCTCTTCAGTACAGATAGTAATTATTTTAGGAAAGAAGATGTTGTGATATCATCTCAATAATATGTATATTTCAACTTTTTAATTACCGTTTGGATATTAGAAGACTCCAAAGCCCTGAAGAAATCCTTGGAAGGGGATGAAATTAAGGATAACGTAGCACTATAGATTTTTAAAGTTATTTTCTTTGGGTATAACCAAGGATGAAATTTTAGCTACAAGATCTTAAAAGACACAGGATTAGCTTTATACTTAACCTTATTTTCCATCAGAAAGAGTCCTGGAAAAATCATCATTTCTTTTTATAGTAAGGATTTGCTATTAATCCCAAAAATCTGATTTCTGAGAGAAGATTTTGCATTGTCAGAAAACACCACAAGGAATTTTCAGAAAGCACTCATACTCTGAGACAACGAAAAATGATTTGCAAGGAGGAAGGCAAAGATGGTGACCTAAGACACAGATTTCACACAATAACACTATTGATGGAAAGGAATTTCCTCACTTGAATTAATTTTCAAAGCCCCCCAAGGATATCTCTTCAAATGATAGTTAAACCCTGTAGCTAGGCTTAAGAGACCTGCTACCAATACTTTCCTGTCACTGCCCTCAAAATTAGCATACCATCTTCTTTCCTGCAGTAAAGAAGCTCATTTTACACCACGTATTAAAAGTATTAGCTTGGAAAATAAGTCACAGAGCAGTGTGCCTAATATGGTTCCATATGTGTAAGAAAAACATACACACACAAAGGCACCGTGTATGTTTTTTTTATGTTTTTTGAAACATACGAAAAGCTAATCAACCTCACAGCAGTCAGGAAACAAAAAAATCAAAACCAGCTATTATTTTTCTTTTTTACGCACAGACTGGCAAAAAATAACATCCAATGCTGTCAGGAGCTTAGAGAGACATACTTACATACAATGTTGGAGGAATACACACCTTTTGGGGGGTAATCTGGCAGCATCTTATATATTATAAGTAAGCACACATTTCAATAAAATAATTCTACTTCTAGGCATCTCTCCTAAATATCCGCATAAAGGCACAAAAAGGCATGCACAAGGGTTGCACCATTATTTGTAACAGTGAAAACTGCAAACAACATCAATCCTCATCAGTGGGGCTATGGTTAAACACTCATTCATTTTATGGAGTATTATACTGGGATTAAAAATAAGGCACATCTATACTATTCAAGGAGTCCCTGGGTGATGCAAAGGTTAAGCGCTGGACTACTAACCAAAAGGATGGCAGTTTAAATTCATTCAGAGGCGTCTTAGAAACCCTAAGGAGCAGTTCTACTCTGCATACATGTGGTTGCCATGAGTCATGGCAACTAACAACGCACAACTCGGACGGTCTGAACCCAAAAATACAGTATTACCTGGGGAGAAAGCAGGCAAGCTGCAAAACAAAGAAGGATCCGATTTATCTTTAAAAAATACACACAAACCTGGATTCCTACATTGTGTGTGTTTACATGTAGATACATACAAAAAACTTCTAGAAGAATGTGAATTTGGGCCTACACATTTCCAAATTATTATTTAAAAGGTACTCATGTATTACCATATGTTATTCAAATAATGCGCACCTTCGTTTGTTTGCCAGCCGTGCCCTCCCCCTGCAAGGTATTTTCTTCAGCATGATATGCTAATTTATTACAATAACATGTAAAAAAAAAATAGTGACGCTAATGAACACACCTTGCGGGAGGAGGGCACAGCTGGCAAACAAATGGAGAAAGTGCGCGTTATTTGTGTGAAAACACAGAACTTCTGTAATTAAAGAAGAGCAAATAAATGAAAATCATGATTTAAAAAAATATCTGGAAGGACACAGATGGAACTGTTTTGTCTGGGGATAGAACTGGAGTCAAAAGGGTAAGACTTCCACTTTTTAACGTTGTATACCTCAGTAATGGGTTTTATTGATACAATGATATATTACTTTAATTAAAAAACTGATACCAGAAAAGTATTAGTTCGGGAGTTAAGGCTCATCTTCCGAAAGCATTGAGAAATCCCTTAGATTTCTTAAACAACAAAGTCAGTGATCACCTACTGTACTTCTAAACATCCCTGTGATGTTTTAACGATAAAGGTACAGCTTAATATTCAAGGTCCTAAATTTAAGTGATCACTTTTAAAACAAACATTTATATATATGAACTTATCTGTACTGTGAGAGCATGTGTGTGTGACTGTGATTACCTTAAAGGCAGGAATGCTGTCAGGTAAGCTACCTGTCCTCAATGCCCCAATTCGGCACCTGACACAGAAGCTGTTAAAAAATATTTGCTAATAGAATGAACTCATCCCATTAAGCATTTTAAGAGGTGAAAGACTTGATAAAAGAAATTCAAGAGCTGGGAAAAGAAATCTGACAAAATCAAATGATATAATTTGAAAATAGGCAGGAATTCTCTAATCTTTAGTCCAGAGGAAAACTGTACCAGACCTACATCTTCAAGAATGACTCAAAAAGGAAGGAAAAAAATCACACGCAAAATTCAAAGCACAATGATATTTACCAGCAATTCTAGAAGAAATTCTTTATCAAAAGCTGTGTCTTCATTTTTAGGAAGGGCTGGCAACAAGCAGAGGTACGATGCCACCTGGTGGAGTGTGTTTGAACTGCAGAATAAAGAATATGCAGGTCAAAATATTTTTTTCTTACTTCACTTCACTTTTGAAACATATAACTCTACAGATAGCTTAAAAAAGTTTACCTAGAAAATATAATTCTGCAAGGTGGGCAGCAAATAAGAAAAATCAGCAATGAAAGTGAAGCCCTAATATAGGGCTCTCCAAGTGTCTTCTGCAAACCTCTGGTGGTCCCTGAGATTCTTCCAGGGAGTCGGCAACAACAACACGTTTTTTCCTAACACTCAGACATTATCTGCAGCCCTGGTGGTGCAGTAGTTAAGAGCTATCTATGGTTGCTAACCAGAAGGTCGGCAGTTCAAATCCAATAGTCGCTCCTTGGAAACCCTCTGGGCAGTTCTACTCTGTCCTATAGGGTCGCTAGGAGTCGCAGCGGACTCACCAGCAATGGGTACAGTCAGACATTATCTATTTGGCATTTCTCACTGTCTTTACATTTACGGTGACAATGCGAAACAATGGTGCGTAAAACCGCTGGTATCTTAGCAAGGATCAAGGCGGTGACACCAATCGGTTCTACCAGTGGTTACAGCGTTCTTCACTACAACACACAGTAAAAAAAAGAAGCCAGTTTCATTCAAGAATGTCCTTGCTGACGCAGTAAAAAGCTGTTCACATCATTAAATTTGGAGTCCTGAGTACCTGTTTTTGTTTTTTTAATATTCTGTGTGACAAAAGGGAAGATACACATAAGCACGTCTGCTGAGTAATCAACCAGGATGACTGTTCCCAGGAAAAGCATATGGCTTTTGAGTTTCAGTGAAACTAGCCACTTTTTTCATGAGCACAATTCTTGCTTGACAGAAATGACGGACAGACAAACTATGCTTAACTGCACTTGGATAAATAAAAATTTTCTCAAAAATGAATGAAATATGTAAGCCTGTCATGTCGAGGGCAGAAGGAAATGAGAGTATTTGTGCTAATGGTAAAATCTGAATTTCCAAGTGAAAAACCAGAATTTTGGAAAACGTGCCTGTGTTACCACGAGCCTGAGAGTTTGCCAATCCTTAAACACGGTTTCATCGTCCGTTGAAGACTCTCTTTATAACCAACTCCTCTGCCCATCCCAGCCCCTGGCAGCCACACATCTGTTTTCTAGCTCCGCAATTTAGCCCTTTCCAGACAGTCAAACGGACTCATACATTATCCAGCCTTTGACACTGTCCTCTTTCACCCATGTTGCTGTGTGTACCTGCAGTTGGTTTCTTTCTATTATTGAGTGGGGCTCCGCTGTAAAGATGTATCACAGCCTGTGGTCAATCAGCAGTTAAAGGATATTTGTGCTGTTTCCAGTGTTTGACAATTATGAACAAAGCCATTATTTACATTTTTGTAGATTTCTGTGTAAACATTACTTTTCATTTCTCTTGGGTATATCTGTAAGTGGGAATGCTGGGTTGTATAAAGTGTCTGTTTAATTTTAAAAGCAATTACCAAAATTTTCAAAAGTGGCTATACCGTTTTGAATTCCCACCAGCAATGCATAAGTTCCAGCTGTTTCATATCCTTGTCAAGCATTAGTAATGTCTTTTTTTTTTTTTTAAACCAACAATTCTAATGGGTATGGAGTGGTGTCTCACTGTAGCTTTCATTTGCAATGCCCTAATAACTAATGATGTTAAGCATCTTTCATGGGCTTACTGACATCTACCTATCTTCTTTGGTAAAGTGTCTATTCAAATCTTTTGTCATTTTTTTGTTTGTTTTCTTATTACTAAGTTCTGAGACTTCTAGATACCAGTCCATTATCAGATATGTGTCTTACAAATATATTCTCCCAGTTTGTGACCTGTCTTTTCATTCTAACAATGTCTTTCAAAGAGCAGAAGGTTTTAATTTTGATGAAGTCTAATTTATCAATGTTTTTCTTTTATGGATTGTAGTTTGGTGTCTGAAGAAATCTTTGCATAACCCCAAATCACAAAGATCTTCTCCTATAGTTCCTTCTAGAAGTTTTAGCTTTGAGATTTAGGTCTGTGATGCATTCTGAGTTAATTTTTGTGTATTATTCAAGGTATGGATCAAGGCTCCTATTCTGCGTATGGATGTCCAATTGTTCTAGCACCACTGTTAAAAAAAGACAATAGTTTTTCAATGAATAGCCTTGGCACTTTAGCTGAAAATCAATTAACCATGTATGTGTGGCCTACTTCTAGACTCTCTATTCTGTTCCATTCATCTATTGATTATCCTTTTGTCAATATCATGTCTCACACTGTAGCTTTACAGGCAGTCTTGAAATCAGGTAATGCAAATCCTCCAACTTTGTTCTTCTTCAAAATGGTTTTGGCCATCCCAGCTCCTCTGCCTTTCCTTATCAATTTTAAAATAAGCTTGTGAACTTCTATAAAATATCTTGCTTGGACTTTGACTGGGACTGCATTATATCTACATAGATTAACCTGGGAAAAATTCACATCTTAACATTATTGAGTCCTCTCATCCACAAGCATGGGCTCTTCATTTTTCAAAGCAATTCATTTTAATTGTACAGAGTTCCGTGATGGAGTTTCAGATTCCGCAGTGAATCTCACTTTTGAGAAACTTCCACTGTTGACTTCTAGTACAGAATCAAAGAAGAATATCCTCAACTAGTTGAAAGAATTTTTAAAATACGCTTGCTTCCCTTTTCCATCCATGTATCTGTGTAAGGATGGGTTTTCTTCATTTATTTGAACCGAAACATCATCTGACAACAAACTGAATCCAGAAGCAGGTCCACAAATCCAGCTGTCTTTAATTAAGCCAGATATAAAGAGATTTACAAAAATGTCAAACAATGCCAACCTTCTCACTACACACTTATTTTCATTTTGGAAAATATATTTTTCATTAACAAAATGCAGGCTAACACATCATGGATTTTTACTGATATTTTAGAATGTCTTAAATAAATACTTTAACATGTTTTCAGTTTTAATTTCTAATATACTAAATATCCATATAATCCACATAAACAAAAGTTGTTTGGGATCCTCAGTAATTTTTTAGAATGTAAAGGAACTGTAGGGGCAAAAAGACATTCCCTGGATAGATTATGCAACTAAATTAAATGTTAAAATAAAACAAGCAAAAATATTTTTATAACCTTATGGTAAGGCACTTGTTACTGTTATAAAAAATACTGACAGATCTGACTAAACAAAAATTTATAACAACTGTGACAACAAAAGATACCATAAACAAAACTAAAAAGTTAA